GAGGGGTCTCACGCATGATGACATAGTGACCTTACGCGGTGGCTTACGCGGGCCGCCAGCTCGGCACAACGCGTGGAGAAGACGGCACCGGGCGCGTACGCGTAATTGTTCGCGCAATCGACCCCGTTCTCTTCCGCCGCTTATCTGGGAGGCCTGGAGGCCCGCAGCTCCGCCCCAGCCCCCCCCCCCTCTCCTAAGCCGGCCAGGCGCGACTCCGAAGCGCCTAGGAGATCCCAGGGCACCACTCGAATCCCAAGGCACGATCCGAAGCGGTGGATGAGGGGCTGGCTCGGGAGAGGAAGCATTGACTTTGAATCGGCGATGCATCGCCGATGGATCGGCAACAGGCACTCGATGGCGGATCGGCACGTTCCTTGGCGGGGTGAGCTGTCGAACCCCAGTGGGCGATGATTGGGCCGTTGGGGACCGACGCAGCTCCCATGAACCTATTCCCCCACAGCGTGCCCATGCGCCCTTCGGGCCAGTAGCGGATCGGCACGTTCCTTGGTGGGGTGAGCTGTCGAACCCCAGTGGGCGATGACTGGGCCGTGGGGGACCGACGCAGCTCCCATGAACCTCTTCCCCCACAGCGTGCCCATGCGCCTTTCGGGCCAGTAGCGGATCGGCACGTTCCTTGGCGGGGTGAGCTGTCGAACCCCAGTGGGCGATGATTGGGCCATTGGGGACCGACGCAGCTCCCAGGAGCCTATTCCCCCACAGCGCGCCCGTGCGCCTTTCGGGCCAGTAGCGGATCGGCACGTTCCTTGGCGGGGTGAGCTGTCGAACCCCAGTGGGCGATGACTGGGCCATTGGGGGACCGACGCAGCTCCCATGAGCCTATTCCCCCACAGCGTGCCCATGCGCCCTTCGGGCCAGTAGCGGATCGGCACGTTCCTTGGCGGGGTGAGCTGTCGAACCCCAGTGGGCGATGACTGGGCCGTGGGGGACCGACGCAGCTCCCATGAACCTCTTCCCCCACAGCGTGCCCATGCGCCTTTCGGGCCAGTAGCGGATCGGCACGTTCCTTGGCGGGGTGAGCTGTCGAACCCCAGTGGGCGATGATTGGGCCGTTGGGGACCGACGCAGCTCCCATGAACCTATTCCCCCACAGCGTGCCCATGCGCCCTTCGGGCCAGTAGCGGATCGGCACGTTCCTTGGAGGGGTGAGCTGTCGAACCCCAGTGGGCGATGACTGGGCCGTGGGGGACCGACGCAGCTCCCATGAACCTCTTCCCCCACAGCGTGCCCATGCGCCTTTCGGGCCAGTAGCGGATCGGCACGTTCCTTGGCGGGGTGAGCTGTCGAACCCCAGTGGGCGATGATTGGGCCATTGGGGACCGACGCAGCTCCCAGGAGCCTATTCCCCCACAGCGCGCCCGTGCGCCTTTCGGGCCAGTAGCGGATCGGCACGTTCCTTGGCGGGGTGAGCTGTCGAACCCCAGTGGGCGATGACTGGGCCGTGGGGGACCGACGCAGCTCCCAGGAGCCTCTTCCCCCACAGCGTGCCCGTGCGCCCTTCGGGCCAGTAGCGGATCGGCACGCTCCTTGGCGGGGTGAGCTGTCGAACCCCAGTGGGCGATGACTGGGCCGTGGGGGACCGACGCAGCTCCCATGAGCCTATTATTCCCCCACAGCGTGCCCGTGCGCCCTTCGGGCCAGTAGCGCATCGGCACGCTCCTTGGCGGGGTGAGCTGTCGAACCCCAGTACCAGTGGGCGATGACTGGGCCGTGGGGGACCGACGCAGCTCCCAGGAGCCTCTTCCCCCACAGCGTGCCCATGCGCCCTTCGGGCGCCGGAAGTCGGGTCTCCGGCGGCCACTCTCGGGACGGTCGGGGCGCCCCCGGGAGGCTCTCTCGGCGAGGCACGGCTGCTGAGAGGCACGCCTGAAATGCTCGATCCAGAGACTTTCTCCCCTGAGCCTATCCCCACCTAACGTAGGGCGACGAAACCTATACATATCCACTGCTCCCTGGCCAGGCCCATCCTCAACCCCGCAGCGGTGTATACGCCACGCCCTCCTGGCTTGGCCAGGAGGGCGCATACACAGCTCCTGGGTTCAAGACGGGCATGGTCAGGGAGCAGTGGACATGTATAGATTTCGTCGCCCGATAACGTTGCCCTGAGCTGGGTAGAGGAACAAAGAGAACTGCATAAGCACCAGCTGTCCGAGGTCCGCGCGCGAATTGCTCTGGCGTGCGGAGCGCGCGAGGGGCGGCGCGGGAGGCACCGACCGGGGGCCCAGAGCCCGTCCACGAGATCCGCACGGAGCTCCCAGACGTTCTGTTGACTGTGCCCACGGCTTCTTCCTTTTTTTGCGGCAGGCCCACGGCTTCTTCCCAGTTTGCGGGGATCTGTCGCGCGGGCACCACGAAGAAGGCCCACGGATCGGAGAGCGCGGCCCCCGAAGCACATATTCTTCCTTTTTTTGCGGAAGGCCCACGGCTTCTTCCCCGGGGATCTGTCGCGCGGGCACCACGAAGAAGGCCCACGGATCGGAGAGCGCGGCCCCCGAAGCACATATAGCGCCAGAGCCAACCCCGCTTGGGGCGACGGAGCGCGCGGATGTGGCCCCATCCACGCGCCCCGCTTCGTGCCTGCGCTTCCTGGGCCAACGCGGCCCTTGAACTGGAGAGGAGGAGGAGGAGGAGGCGGAGGAGGAGGAGGAGGAGAAGGAGGAGGAAGAGGAGGAGGAGGGGGAGAAGGAGGAGGAAGAGAGGAGGAGGAGGGGGAGGGGGAGGAAGGAGGAGGAGGAGGGAGGAGGAGGAGGAGGAGGAGGAGGCCACAGCTTCGCCCCCCTGGGCTGGCCAGGCGTCCGCCCGCGCACGCGGCGGGCGACCCACGGCCCACGGCGGGCGCCGCGGCGCGGCGCCGCAGGGGCGCCGCAGCCGCTGGTGGCAGCGCATGGCGCGCGCCGGGGGGGGGGGGGATCCTCTCGAGGCTTCGGGGGGGAGGAGGAGGAGGAGGAGGAGGAGAGGGGGAGAGGAGGAGAGGGAGGAGGAGGAGGGAGGAGGAGGAGGAGGAGGAAGAGGAAGAGGGGGCGGGCGGGGCGATCCTCTCGAGGCTTCGGAGATGCAAAGCAAGCGGTGCAAGCATCATTCCTCGGAGCTCCACGCGGGTCTCTCGGATCGGCGCTGGGCCCCAACGCCGGCGCGCGGAGAGCGCGCCAGGCGCGGCACGGGAGGCGCCGCCAGGGGGGCCCAGCGCCGATCCAAGAAATCCGCGCGGAGCTCCGAGGAAATACGCTTACACAACTGTTTGTTACTCGACTTCGGACAGACGACGTCTTCGCGTCGCGAAGTGAAAAGCACGGAGGGTGCTTTTTGATCACTCTCAACTTCCGGGAACCCCTGCCAGGCCCAGGGGCCGTCAAAAAACAACTCAGGACGAAGAGCCAGTCCACGGGAAAAGGTCCAAACCTTTGGGGAGCAACGAGGTGAAAGAAACACATCGGATGCCTAGGCTCGTCGGCTACCATCGGTCTTCCAGCTCTGGGGCGCTCTCCAGCAGCTGCGCCTCGCCGAGCGCGCTCCAGGGGTGCCCGAATCGTCCCGAACGGCCGCCGAAGGCCCGAGTTATGGCCCGAAACCCACCAGGCGCCGCGGGGGGCCCGCGGAGCAACCCCAAGATCAGACGTTGCGAAATCACTGCAACATCGCGAAGAATCACGACCAGAGCCCCTGACCCATCCTCGTGCTGCATTCTCCTAGCCGGATCGATCTGCCGTGGCCCTGGGGCCCCAAACCGACGGCACCGATGCATCGGCGACGTCGGCGATGCATCGGTGCCGTCGGCGCAAAGAAAATCGGGCTCCGCATCGAGCCGCACCGGCGGTGCATCGGCGATGCATCGGCGATGCGGCGCGATCCTCCGACACCATCTACTCGGACCCCACCTGGGAGGCTGGAGACACCCAGATCTCGAGGAGGAGGAGGAGGAGGACGAGGACGAGGACGAGGAGGAGGAGGAGGAGGAGGAGGACAAGAGGAGGAGGAGGAGAGGGAGGCCTAGAGACGCCAAGATCACAAGGAAGGCGGACACGAGGCGCCGTGGAGGTGACGCCCTGGACAGAGAGCAGCTCTGGAACTGCGGGGCGGAGCCGCGCCCGCCAGGGACTGACTACCTACCAGACAACCCCAACCCAACCCGAAGACTCGAATTTCGGGTGGGGGGGGGTACGGGTTCATATGTGTTTTTTCAATGTTCCCCGACCCCCCCCAACTGGAAATGGAGGACAAATTGAGGCCTTCGGGTTGGGTTGGGGTGGTTTGGTGGGTGGTGAGGGACGGGGGCGGGCCGCGGACCCAGCATCTCCCACGTCGGGCTGCCTGGTTACTGTTGGGCAGGGGTGGCGGGCGCGCGATGGTCATGGAGTGGTTTCGACAGGCGCGCGCGCCTCTCGATCCTCCCCCATCCCTCCCGCCAGGACTGCGACGTCACCCTGGCTCGGTTTTTCACGGCCTGGCGCGGGGCACTGCCAGGGCACCCCACCTTGGCGCGCGGAGCGCGCCAGGGGTGGCACAGGAGGCGCCGCCAGGGGGCCCAGCGCCGATCCGAGAAATCCGAGCGGAGCTCCGAGAAGTCATGTGCATGCCACGCTGTCTCCTCTGGAGCACGTTGGAGGTCTGGCTAGACGTGTGCCTCTAGAGCCCGCCCCTGGGCTACCCAGCCCCTGCCGCCTCCGACGACAACGACGACTACGACGACGACGACGACGACGACGACGACGACGACGACGACGACGACGACGACGGAAACGGCCGCGCGGCGGCCCCAAGGGGCGCGCCTGAAGCAGCTCCACGAGCTGGGCGACGAGAGTTTCGGTTGAGGCCTGGGCGGCACCCAGCGGGACGCGCAGCGCCGGTGCCGTCGTTGTCGGAGAGGGCCAGATGAGGAGGAAAAGCGACCGATGCCGCCACTCGTGCCTCGTTCTGCCCTTTGAGGGCCTCCCGGGAAGCCCTCGTCGCCACGGCTGGATTCGCCTCGAAATTCTGGTCAGAGCGCACCCGGGGAGAGGGTCCAAGGAGTGGCAGTGTGGGTATCGCTTGTTTTCCGCATAGAAGTTGGGGAGAAAGAGGAGAACTACCACGGACGATCAGTTGGGTTCACGAGGTGGTCCCTGGCGGCAGAGCCTCCCGGGCAGGGCTGAGCGAATGAGGTGACCCAATGCAAGAGCAGAGCAGGCTGAGAAAAGCGGAAGGGCAGGAGTAGGAAACGGGGAGGAGAGAGTAGGGAGAGGAGGATGAGGAGGAGGAGGAGGAGGAAGAGGAGGAGGTTACTTAACGCCACAAGCCCTTGCTTCAGGTCCGAGCAACATCAAAAGGAAGAGGAAGAGGAAGAGGAGGAGGATCCAAGCAGATCAATCAGTACGGGTTTGATCACTCAAGGTCAAACGCCGAGGCCAGGCCAAATCTGACCATTCGACGAAACGCGGGCCCAAAGAACAACCCTTGCGAACACTGAATAAGCCTTCCTGGTAGCGGGCCCCAGAGGCCGAAATCGAGGAAGAACACCTGGATTGAACACACTGACACACACACACACATATGTACATATATATATATACATACATACATATATATATATATATATATACATATACATATACATACATATATATATATATATATGTATGTATATATATATACTCGGAAATATTGGCATACCCAATCAATGTTCGTCGCGCCGTGCGGCTGGGTTTCAGTATGTTTGCGATTTCTCGGCTTGGTTTGTGCGGAGGGTATTTCACCAATGAGCCCGTCTGACCCAAGATACTTCGGCATTCCCAGCAGGATTCGCCAGCATCAAACCGGGAAATCGAATCAGATCGGAACGAAGGTCGAACCGGGCTGCATTAGCACGGGCCGACGTCGAGTCGGATCGGCTGCGGCAGCAGCTAGACTCGAGAGCCAATCGGATCGATCGGATCGACATGAATTACGATTCGGGAAACAATCACTCGTGCGCGCCGAGATGGGGCCCAGCGCAAGCCTGGGCCGGCGCTGGTTCCGCCGTGCGGAGGCCCTCGCTGCGCAGCCGCGCGGCGCCGGGGCAGATCCAGAGGGACGCGCGGGGCCCGCCCAGGACGAGAGGCAGCGCGCCAGGGACGGGGTGTTCAGCGGAAGGTTGTCCCACACGGCCTTTTCGAAGCCTGGGAACCTGCATTGAACGATTAAAAAAACACCCCCCGCCCCCCACATGAAGCACTTCAGACGAATGGACCGTCAAACGACGCGCGAACAGCAGGCGGAAACAGCTCGACGGCCAACCAACGACAACGCCGCGCAACTCAATGCGAACGGTGCGCTGCTGCTACGCTCATTGGCGTCTGAACATGGCGTTACATTGTGTTGGCACACGGTCATTGCCAAAAGTCGTCGTGGACGTTCGCGCGCTCGTGCCAGGGCAAAAACCAACGGGCGCGTCGGCCCTCGGCGGCGTTAGAAAGAACCCGTGACGGCGCCTGGGACCCGCCCCGCACGGGCGCGCATCGACACGTTTAGATCCAACCCAAAAACACAGTTTAGGCACCAGGCCCAAAAAAAACATACAAACCCTATGTACAATCGGTTTTAAGTTTTCCGAAGCGAATAATATCGCGCGAAAGAGCCCCAAAATGTTCATATAAACAGAAAGTTGTGTTTATATGAACGCCAAAAAAAAATGTATTGGAACAGATGCCTGAAGAGAAACGCTCCCGATATAAACTTGTCCGTCGGCGGGTTACGAGGGGGCGACGGAGGCGGGGGCGGGGGCCGTCGGCTGGGCCAGCGGCGCTGCCGCGCGAGGGACAGCGCCGGCGTCGCCTCAACCTGCATGCCGCGGCCGTGGCACGCAGCCCTGGGAATGACGGCGTGGGCGCGGCCGCGTCGAGTGGGCCCAGGACGTCGCCGCGCGCGCCGGCCACCCCCCCCCCCGCGGCAGCTGGCAGTGGCCTCGCCGACAGGGCGCCTACACTTACGCACTTTCGCCATACATGTAAAACGCTGACATGCAAAATTCATAATTGTGGGGGCTGGGGTCGGTTACCCACTGCTCATGCATATCAATGGGCTCGAGGAGCTTTGTGGTCCGCAGCGGTGGTGGCGAACGCGCACCGCGTCCGCAGCTTAAGCGAAAACGCTGCTGGGCGAATTGTACACGAGCTGGCGGGAGGCAGAAGAGGGCGACAACACTCGGGCTCGGGAAGCACGACGGCATGCGCTGCGCGGTCAGGCCTTCGAGAACCGCATCGTGCAGCACAGCCGCCCGCGCAGACGTCACCATCGGCACCGAGATCCTGAAGGCCCCCTGCGAGGCGAAATCCTCCTGGGCGTCCAAAAAAAACTGGCCCCAACGCGTCCAAGATGGGGGGAAACGCGGTTCTGCCCAGGGTCGAAAACGGCGACCCAGAAGGTTGGAAAAACGACGAACCCGGACGAGATCGGTACCGAGGGCTCTACGCGCGCACGCGCCAAGTGTATCATCCCCCCTGGGACGGGTTCGGCGCGCGCGGCCTCGCACGCTGGAGGAGGACGAGGAAGAGGACGAGGAGGGAGGACGAGGAGGAAGAGGGGGAGGAAGAGGAGGAGGAGAAGAGGAAGAGGAGGAGGAGGGAGGAGGAGGAGGAGGAGGAGGAGGAGGAGGAGGGACCAACTTTTTTGGATCACGATCGCTGCGCAACACACTGAAAGGTCAGAAAACAGGGCGGCCCCTGACTCTTACGGGGAGGGCGGGGGGCGGGAAGCGGAGGGCGGCGGCGGCAGGAAACAATGGGGGCGGGAAGGGGAGGGGGAAATGACTGGAAGTGGCAGCGTAACATAAGGAGGGTTCAAGGTAGAAGGCATGGGTGAATTCGTAATTACATAGCGGCGGCCCGTTTTCCCTCCATCGGCTACATGTCGCGTGCACGCTGCAATCCAAAATGGCAACAGGCGCGCACGCATCCTCCTCTTCGAATCGGGGCGACGGGGCAATGGAGAGTGCCCCTGCACCTCACATAGGCCATACAGAAATGCACGCAATGAGGTGCAAGAGCATTCACCGCGATGCATCAGCAATGGACGGTCGGCGCAAATCACCCATGGCTCAGGAGCCCCAGTCCGGACGCAACGTCGTGAACTCTAGGGAGGGAGCCCTGTCGGCTCGTAAATGTGGTCAGCACGTACGTGATATGAGCTGATAAAAGCTAGGGTCGCAGAACGTCGCGACACCCACAGCAGGGAGAGCCTCGGGACAGGCGCCTTGCCCAATACGACCAGCCGACGTTGACTCCTGACCGCCAAGAGAGCAGGGCACTGCTCGTGGGGGGCCCGGCACAGATCGCACCTGGCGCGCGCGCGCCGCGGCGCTGGTCGAACCTGCCAGCCAGGCACGCCCCCTGGCTCTGCATCTTGCACACTGCTGGCGTAGCCGCTAGCCTTCGGCACTCTTTTGTGAGTAGGCGCCGGCCGGCGTTGCTGGCCGTTGCGTCGCGCGCGCGGAAATTCGGACGCGAAGCACCCGAGCGCGCTGTTTTGCACGCGCGCACAGGCAACTCGCCCAGCTGCTTGCGGCAGTTCGTCGCAGACGCTTACCAACCACAGCCGTTGGCAGGTCCACGCGCTGGTCCGGCGACGGCCGAGCGGCGCCGACGCGGCGCTTGCTGCCTGGACGCGGCCAACAGCAGCGCGGCGTCGCAGGCGCCCCCCCGGCCGCTCGCAGCCGCCCCCGCGTCGGCAGCGCAGCGCGCAGGCCACCGCGACAAACGTCGCAGCGCGAGCGGCGCCGAGGCGCCTTCGCCGCGCGCGCCGGGAACTTGCGCGCAGCGCCTGTCGAGTGCCTGGCCATCTACTGCGAAAGAACAGAGCCCCTGCACATGACGGGGGGATCGCCTGCCACTGTCGCGTCGAACGCGGCCTGCGATGAGCTCGCGGTTAGGTCACCCACGCAGTGCTCGTCGCAGCTCAGTCGCCGAGCGCCCTGCAAGCGGCGCATCGGGCCCAGTCATGATCAGGCCCATCGGCGCGCGGCGGCGGCTGTCAAGGGACCCGAGCACTCATGCTGCACTGCGCGCCCAGGAGGACAGAGCGCGACGCTGCGCAAGGTGGCGGCGCCAGAATGCCCCCTCGATCTGTCGCGGGCGCGGCGGGGCCCGCGCTGCCGGCAGCCGCGCGCCGGAGCTGGCTCGGCCAGCTGTCCTTGCCCAAGAGGCGGAGTCGCGAGCAGCCTCAACGGCGGCGCAGCCTACGCGGCGCCGTCGGGCCAATGGCAGCAAGCCCGCTTGCTGAAGTCACATGATTAACGACTCCGGGGCCGACGTCGCCGGCGGCGCCCCGGGGCGGGCACCGCCGCGCGCGACGACGCGCTCGCGCGCGCCCACCCGCGCGAGGGCGCCGTCGCGACGCAGCACCAGCAACGCGCGGGCGCGCGCCGGGCAACGCGGCGGCGCGCCCCAGGGGCCGCCCCCGACGGGCAATTGCACCGCAACGCAGCCGTCGGCGAGCAAACGCCCTCACTCCGGGGGGCGACGCAGGAGCGACGAGCGAAGAGAATGTGTAGGATGACATCCAAGGCCAGGCACTGCCGCGCAAAGGGGCCGCGCTAGCACGCCAGACCCATCCTCGACGGACTCGGAGACACCCGGACCCAGCTCCGCGACGACGTCCGCGACGAGGCCCATCCTTCACGAGAGGGTTCTCGTCGGCAGCAGCACCGAGGTGCAACGCCGCCTGCACGCGCGACGCGGCCGGCGCCATATCACAGGGACGACGTCTTCTGGCGAGCTGCCGCGCCAAGGCGCTGGCTTCCAGTTCCCCCATGTCCACGGACGTCCGCGCCTGCGAGATGCAACTTGAGAGTCGCGCGAAGCTGTAGCTCTGCGACGCGGCCGCGGAGGCGGCGTCCTCCGAAATCCTCGCGGCGCCCGCGATGACCTTGACAGCCGCGTTCTGGCCGGCAGCGAACGCTTCGCGATTCGCGACCATCTGCGCGCTCTCTGCCCCAGCATCTCGAGTTCCTGCTTCGCGACCGTCTCGGCGCAGCGCGGGGCCACCGGGCTCCTCTGTCGCAGCTGCTGTGAGATCCGAGAGATTCACGATCGCGGTGCCGGACATTTCGGGGCCCAGATTCTCGGGGCCTGCACGCGCAACGCACAAGACGCAGACGACGTAGCTGTGTCAGACCTGCATCGCAGGATTGGAAGCGAGAACGCCACGGAGCACATACCGGTTTCCCCTGCGGCGGCGCCACTGGGCCCCCACGCGGCGCGCGCACTGAAGTCCACTGGACGTCGCGGGCCAGCGCCATGGCAGCAACGCACAACGTCTCGCTGATGGCGCTGATGTTCCTCTTCGCCTCGCGGACGTCGCAGATAATCAGGCGCGGCGGCGAGCGCGGCTCAAACTGCCACGCGAGCCGCCAAAGATGACGCGGCGCGGGTGGATGCCAACGACGGCCAGCAGAGCAATAACCAATACCATGAATTTGAACGCGCTAGTCGCGAAGACGCAACTGATGGCGGCCACGACGCCGCGGCCGCACATCAGCCCCACTTCCGCGCGGAGCAGCGCGGCGGTCGAGATATCCCCCTCGACAATCGCGGCGCGGGGGGCGACGTCGTTCCAGCGGACGAGGACGTGGGCGTATGCATATCCGCAGGGGCCGTCCGGGCCGTGGAGCACACCCAGGTCGCCGCCCATTCACGAGGAGGGCGGCAACCACGCGGCGGCCGATCGTCGACGCGTCGGTGCCCGCGGCAAGGCGGCTCCGAGACAAGCAGAGGGCCTTTCGAGGCTGTCCATTCAATATTTGCCCCTGCAGGCGCGCCACCTGCGCGCGTAGCGCGGCGGCTGGCTGAGCTGGGGGGTCGGTCTGGAAGTCGGACAACTCCTGGGCTGACGCGCTGGCCTTCTTGGCCACGGCCACGGCGCTGGCTGCTGGAGATCGCCTCGGCGTTCTTCTCGTCCTCGGGCGGGCCGGGGGTCTGCAGCGCGACGCCACGCGCTAGATGCCAATGTGAACCAGCACTCGAACCTGGGCGCAGCAGCGCGTTGCCGCGGGCGCAGGAGGCCCGGCGTGCACGCGCATTCTCGCCCCAGCAAGGCTGCGCGCAGCGCGTGCACTAGCCCTGTCGCGGGGCGCCGTGGCTCGGCGCACGGCCGCGCTCTGCGAATCTGTCCTGTGGCCCAAGATGCAGCAGAGAGGTCGCGCACTCGCAACCGTAGACCGCGAGGGCGGAGACGTACAGAATGTTCACGGGATAAAGCAGATACTGGGATGATAATGTAGAAACACGTGTAAGTGCACAGCTATATCGAGAGCGAGGTCGTCGTAGTAGCCAACAAGCACACACCAGATTGGCCCAGACAGAGGATTGATGTGGCAAATTCGCCGGCCCAACGGGCCAGAGGCGTGCTAAGATCTCCGGTAACTTGTTAACAATATTTCTAGTTCGCGCGCGCGGAGCGGCCCCTGGGGGCCCCCTGACGAAAAGTACCCCGGCAAGGTCCCGAGAGAAGCCCGGGAGAAGCCACCAGACCACTCCAGGGGAGGGTATTTTTCGACACCCCTCACGAGGATCGTGGCCTCCGAGGGGGGAGCCGCAATCGACTACCCCCAAGAGCCCCCCAAGAGGCCCTGGGGGCCTCCAAAACGCCGCCAAGGAGCCCCAAGAGACTCCCAAGAGGTCCCCAAGAGGCCCCCAAGAGGCCCTAAAGAGGGCTCCAGGGCCGGCGGCATGAGCGAAGCGATTAAATAATCCCACTTGGTGCGCGTGCACTCTGGGACATATCGGCGGAAATTTGCAACATGTCATAGCAGCAAATCCTTCAAATGCAAACCAATGCGCGTGCGCCCACAGGGAGAGCATATCGTGCTCGGCTCTGATTGGATCAGGAGGAGGTCCGTCGGAAACGGCGCAGAAAGCTGTGGAGCTTGAACCGTTGGATCGGCGGGCGCTGGCTAAACTACCAGCACTGACCGAGATTTGACACCAGATGAACGGTGCGGACCGACAGGACGCGCCCTTGGTGAGGGGGCGCCAGGCCGTTGAGCTGGCCGGCGAGCCCTCAAAAGAGGAACTCTTTCTGCCAGACGGCGGCCCAGCAAGGGACAACGTGTTGCTGAAGGCAGATCGCGCCAGATGGTGAATACACACCGAAAGGCCGGGCGCAGTGAGGTAGCACTGCCCGCATCGGCTGGCATGCGCCTCAATTGATCCTATTCAATGAGGCGGTGGTGTGGCTGAGCAGGTGGACTGACATAGAGATACAGAAGAACGGCGTACGTACAATATGACAAACGAGCACACGGGCCAGAATCGCATGTCACCCGGCCTGGCCCGCATATGGTGGTCTCTTTGTAGGTTGCACCCCGTGTGACGTATCCGATTGTCGCCAGAGCGTGGTTGGGTGGAACCAAAACCGATGCCTGCAGGCACTCGGAGAGGTGGTTGGAGACGAACTTGGCCAGGCGTAAGTGTGCGCGCAAGTGTGCGCCAGGCGAAATGTGAGCTTGGCCAGGGGTGAGTGTGAGCTTGGACAAACGTAAATGTGCACCAGCCTGCGCGTGCGAAGGCGCACTGCCGGGAACAACGGTGCCCAGGCTTGCATAGCATTGTGCATGCTTGCGCACAGGCGTAGCCTGCCACTGCCCCTCGCGCACGCTTCGACGCACAATTGAGCATACTGCTGCTAAGCGTGCGCTGTAAGATGCGTGGGTGCGCGCGGGCATGGCAGAGCGCGCGGGCTGGCACCGCCAGGCACAGACCATGCCCCAGCGTGCGTAGCACAACGCATGGGAGTGCCAGGCATAGCACACCGTGCTTGCGCAGCTGAATCACCAGGCACAGAGGATGCCCCGGGCGCGCCGGGCAGCGCATGGGCGCACACAGGTGGCGCGCAGCGCGAGGCCGGCACCGCCACGCACGTCGGAGATCTGGGTCGGTACCCTGTCCTCCCCTCTGGCTTCCGGCAAGCATAGGAAGGCAGAAGAGCACCCACACCACCGCCTGGCCCCCCTCCCCACTGGAGGGGGGGGGGGCAGGCGGTGGTGGAGCATACTTGATGCGTCCCGTTTGCGAAACATCCGCAAAATCGGAAGCCGAAGCTCCTCGGCCTAGCCCCAGGAGGGGCTGGGGGGAGGATGAGCCGGATGGGGGTGGAGGTGTGCGTTCCCTTTTCCCAACAAGAAGACCTGGATTTGGAAGCGGCCGCAGGGTCTTCGCTGGATTGGCCCCAGGAAAATAAATCAAGAAGGGGGGACGAGGCCAAATCCGCTCCGAATCCGTCCCTGGACCCCTTAACTGACCCAGTTTTTCGAGACGCGTCCAGCCGTGACGACGAGGTCCCGCTCTCCTCCTCCTGCTGGGCCGAATCAGTGGGGGCCACCGCGGCCCCTAGAAAAGGAAAAATATGCATAAATTATCCCAGTGCGACCCTACCTAGGAGTTGGAGCCTCTAGGAAAGCAACATTAGTAGGAGCGGTAAACGCCATCCTCCTGTGCTACGCTATGCTATGCTATGCTATGCTATGTTATGCTATTATATGTTATGCTATGCAATGCTATACTATGATATGCTATGCTAGGATATGCTATGCGATGCTATGCTATGCTATGATACGCCATGCTATGCTATGCTATGCTGCGCAATGCTATCTATGCTGGGCTAGGTTAGGCTAGGCTATGATATGTTATGCTATGCTGTGCTATGCTGCGCTATGCTATGCTGCGCTATGCTATGCTCTGCTATGCTATGCTATGCTATGCTATGCTGTGCTATGCTATGCTATGCTATGTGTTTGCTTTGCCTTTGCTTTTGCTTTCACTTTTGCCTTTGCTTTTGCTTTTGTTTGGCACCCAGGGAGCCCAACTGGGGGAACCGCGCGTTTGCTTTTACCTTTGCTGTTGCTTTCGCTTGGGTCCCAGGGGACTGGGGGAACCGCCCGGGGCGATTTGCACTGCCCGGCCCCTTTAAGCAAAAAGAGTAAGAATCCCTCTAGGCAGAGCCTAGGTAGGGAACATGAACTCTTGGCGCTCCGCGTGGATTTCTTGGATCTGCGCTGGGCCCGCGGGGCGGCGCCGGGGGCGCCGCCAGGGGGGGGGCCCAGCGCGGATCCGAGGAGCCCGCGCGGAGTGCCAAAAGTTGGTGGCAATGGGCGGTCTTGACTACCTACCAGACCACCCCAACCCAACCCGAAGACCCGAATTTCGGGTTGGGGGGGGTAAGGGTTCCACGCGTGTTTTTTCGATGTTTCCCGACCCCGCCCCACTGGAAATCGAGGGTAAATCTGAGCCTTCGGGTTGGGTTGGGGTGGTTTGGTGGGTGGTGAGGTCTTCCTCCTTCGACCCCAGCCGGCGCCAGGCCTGGATCACGAAGTCTAAGGCGTCGGAGTCCTGCCGCCCGGCCCGCCGCCGGCACCCCGCGGGCGCCCGAGCCCCACGGGCGGCAGCGCCGATGTGGGGGCCCCACCAGGGAGGGGCCGCCGCTGCCTCGAGGAAGCGCGGCGTCCTCGAGGGTGGGCCCCCCCAAAAAAAACGCCCCAGAGCCTGCCAGAGCGACCCCCCACGAGCGACGAGCACGAGCGGGCCCTGCGCGAGGCGGCCTCACGGCCTGGCGCGGTGGCTCACGCGGGCCGCCAGCGCCGCACCTTGCGCTGAAGCGGCGGGGGCTTACGCGCGGCCTTACGCGGGCAGCTTACGCGCCAATGTCGGCGCAGACGACCCCACTTTTTGACGTCGCTCAAATTACGAACGAACAGCACACACAGACACACACACACACATAGATCCATAGCGGGGACGTCGGGAGGAGGACCGGCTATGGGTATGGGTGCGCATTGTCGGGCCCCGGGGGGCGCTTCCGTTCGAGGGGGGACCCGCATCCGACAGCACGCATCCATAGCCCCTTCCGTCCCACCTATGCGTATGGGTGTGTGTTGTTCGCTCGTCACCCAAGCGTCAAAAACCTCCTCGAGCTTCGATCCTGGAACCTCGACTTCCAAGAGCTGGTGACCCCCATAATCGTAACTAGAAAAACGGAGATAAAAAAAAGAAAAACAAAAAAAAAAAAAACGGAATGACCATAATCTCTCGGAGGTCCGCGCGGAACTCTTGGATCGGCGCTGAACCCACCTCCCTGGCGCGCGGAGCGCGCCTGGGGCGGCACCGGAGGCGCTATCAGGGGGGCCCAGCGCCGATTCACGGGATCCGCGCAGAGCTCCGAGAAACCATGCGTACGCAGCTTGTTCCTCGAACATGGGAGAGGTTCAAGAGGGGGGGGCGTCCAAGAGGGCGGGGGTGTAAATCATGACCCGAGGCATGTGCGCGGACCAGGGGTAGGGCTAGCGAACGTATTGAACTAAGTCGAAAGGCCATGAAATCTGGGAAATACCACGGCCCTGGCCGTGATGTCTTTCCCCCCTCGTCATTGTGGACGCCCGAAAAGCGTACGGAAAACAAAAAAAAAAAAATGCACAGTGCCAAGCTGCAAATGATGTCAACACACACAACCGCGGGCGCTGCTCGGCGGGCGGCCTGCTGTCGCACGTGGACGGCGTCTGCGGCGACGCCGACGGCGACTCCTGCTCAGATGGGCAGGCGTTGCTGTCAGTCTTCGTGCCCACTCGTTCGGTTACCCCTCTTGATCCCCCAGACCCATGACCCCCCCCTTGAACGCCCACGAAAATATATAAAGGCCTCCCAGATGGGGTCCGAGTGGATGGGGTCGGCGGATCGCGGCGCACTGGCGCATTCGGCGCAGGAGAAATCAGGCTCCACAGTGATCCGCATCGGCGATGCGGAGCGATCCTCCGACCGCATCTACTCCGACCCCATGTGGGAGGCCTCGAAAAATAGTGGTGCCCCCCCTCGTGGACCCCCTCAAGAATAGTGGTGACTCCCGCTTACGCCACGAAAATATATACACATACGCCCTCCAACGAATGTTGCATGCACCTGCAGGGAGGGCGGCGGTGTATAGAGTCGCTGACTCTCAGTGGTGATATATACACCGCCACCCTCCCCTGAGGCCCAGGAACCATCCATTGGAGGGTGTCTGTGGATAGAGGCCGCCTAGATGTGGTTGGAGCAGATGGTGTCGAAGGATCCCGCCACATCGCCGATGCATCGGCGACGATGCAACGGCGATGCACCGGCGACGTCGGCGATGCGTCGGCGACGTCGGAGTGGAGGAAATCGAACTCCACATCGAGCCGCATCGCCGATGCATCGGCGATGCGGAGCAATTCTCCGACCGCATCTGCTCCGACCCAATGTGTATAAATCACCACCGGGAGCCGGCGACTTCATACACCGCCGCCCTCCCTGCAGGTGCACGCAACATTCCTCGGAGGGCGTATGTGTAGATATCCGCCGCGGACCCGCCAGCGCGGGCCGGCCGCGCCACGCGCTCCGAGCGTGACCCGTCCCCCTGAGCGGCCTCGCTCCTCTCCCCCCCCTTTCGGCCGTTCCTTCTGTCCTGTCCTCTTCTCCTTGCACGGTGGCCCCACTCGCTGCAACGGCACCACCGTTTAGTCAGCTCTCCGCCAGCGCAGCTACTCTGCCTGGCCGCCGACGCAAAAGGTGCGTGTAGTTAGTTCCCCACCATCCTGTGGTGTTGGGTCATCGATTTGAAGAGACAGCGCCCCGCGTTCCTCCTTCCTTCCTCCCCCTCCTCCCTCCTCCCTCCTTCCATCTCTGCCTCTGCCTCTCCTCTCCGCATGCCGTCATCACCATCATTTTCGTCATCTGAATCGTGATCATCATCGGCATCATCGGCGTCATCACAATCGCCATCGTCAACGTCGTGCCTCTGTTCTCCGTAATCCATTTCGGCACGCCCCTCACACGTTTCGTGGCCGCATCGGGAGCTGCACCTAAGGTCCCAGTGGCGCAGTCCGCATGGCGGCGCCGCCCCATTTTGGCACACCCCTCACACGCTTCGTGGCCCCATAAGGAGCTGCACCTAAGGTCCAAGTGGCGCAGTCCGCACGGCGGCGCCGCCCCATTTTGGCACACCCCTCAAACGCTTCGTGGCCGCATCGGGAGCTGCACCGAAGGTCCCAGTGGCGCAGTCCGCATGGCGGCGCCGCCCCATTTTGGCACACCCCTCACACGCTTCGTGGCCGCATCGGGAGCTGCACCGAAGGTCCCAGTGGCGCAGTCCGCATGGCGGCGCCGCCCCATTTTGGCACACCCCTCACACGTTTCGTGGCCCCAGAAGGAGCTCCGCCCTGCCATTTCGGCACACTATTCACGCGCTTCGTGGCCCCAGAAGGAGATCCACCGAAGGCGATACTCACAACGACGGCATTCACAACTGCATATGGTTGGGTCCTTCGCCAGGGGCATGTCCTCCTGTAGGCGGATTTGGGACGAAAAGAACAAATCATCAACACGTGCTCCAACAGATCTCAAAATCGCAGAAAACTCGCCCCCTCCTACTTCTGCTGTTGGGGAATCCTCCTCCTGTAGTAGGAAGGCACCAACTATACACCAACACCGATCCTGGCCAGGATCACCCTGGGCCCAGGATCGGTGTATACGCCCTCCTGCCTTGGGCAAGAAGGCATATACACCGATCATGGGCCCAGGGTGATCCTGGGCCAGGATCGGTGTTGGTGTATAGTTGGTGCCCTCCTCCTGCAGAGGAACGTGCCGGACGTAACCCTCGGCACTGCCCGACCCACGCAGGCCGAGGACCCGCCGGCCGAGGGCACCACCCCCCCCTCAGAGGCGCCGCGCCCGGGGCGGCGCCGCGCCCCGCGCGGCCGCGCGGGCCCCGTTGCGGAGGCAGCCGCCTCGGAGGCCGCGGCCCGCCCCGGGGCCCACGGCCGCTCGCTCCGCCAGCCGGGGGGGGGGGGGCCGCCGAGGGCCTCGGCGCTCGAGGAGCGGGGAGCGGGGATCGGGTCGGGCGTACCCCCCTGCAGGCCGGGTTGCAGACGACGCTTCAAAGAGATGTGCACACAAAGTATTCAGCAACAGTCACAAAAGATACACCCTGCGAAATGCTTAAGAAATCATGGGTCAAGAAATTCATAGTCTCAGAACTTGAATAAAAACCCAACATTTCTATCAAAATCTTGGGATTGACACTGAAACGTTAAGAATAATCGAGACTCCGGCCGAAAACTTAGGTTTTCTTAAGCATCGCCTGGGGTGTATGCGAGACATCGTCCCCCGGATTTTTTTGACTATGTTTTTGAAGATGCCTCCTGTCGAGGGACACGCCCGACGTACGGCGAGGAGCGAGGGCCGAGGATCGAGAAGTGGAGGCTCGGGGGTCGAGGGCTCGAGGAGAGGGATCGGGGGGGGGGGGGGGGTTCGAGGGCTCGAGGGCTCGAGGGTCGGGGGGGGGGGGAGGATCGGGCTCAGGAACGGGGGGGGGGGGGGTTCGAGGGCTCGAGGGCTCGAGTGAGGACGGGTTGGGGGGGGGGGGGGGGGGGGGGGGGGGGGAGGATCAGGGAGCGAGGCTTCGGGGGGTCGGGGGTCGCGGATCGCGGGTCGAGGATCGAGGATCGCCCGGCCCATCGGCGGCCGCGACTCGCCCTGGCCCGCGACTCTCGCTCCGCCCGCCGGGGGGGGCCGCCGAAGGTCTCGACGCCCGAGACTCGCGATTTTTCTGGTGAGGGTCCCTGCGCTTCAAGCTTCGGAGCTCGTGCAAAAAGGACGCCTTTCTCACGTTGCATCTTCGGGGGACCTTGTCTGCCCCACCGCACCGCTATCCGTGTCGAATGAGTGTCGAAAATCAAATCCGCGTCGATTCCGCGTGGAATCCATATCGAATCCGCGTCGACTCCGTGTCGGTTACAAGAAAACGAAGAGCAATTTACGGGACAGACGAGGCCCCACGAAGATGCATCGTAACCTTTCGCCCCTGGACGGCGGCGGCCACAGAAGGCTAAGTGTGAAGCGATGCTTGTCGCGATGCTTGTCATGGTCATGCAAATGCAAGCGAGGACAAAAACGGACAAATCGTTGCCCAAAAATCTCTCTCGCGGTGAGATGGGTTTGAATCGTCTCACATGGACCGAGGATCCTCTGGGGTCGTTGCCCACATTTGGGAGGCCGTCTTGGGTCGTCTTGGAGCGATCGTGGAAGGCCTCATGTGCCGCCTTGGAGCGTTGGGAACACGCTGAAATTCGTACCAAACCAAATCCATGGTTTGGACCTCTCGGGGCTCTCTTGGATGTGCTCGTGGAGTACTTTTGCGACGCCTGGGCAGCTATCCTGAGTGATCGCGGGCGCTCTTAAGCCATCTCAGAGGCAATCGGGGCTAGATTGGGGGTCCTAGACCCATCTTAGACTGTCTGGCCTTGGGGGCCTCTTGGAGGCGAAACTCGGAGGCATACGAAAAATGCCGGCCGATGCTCCGGAGGCGGCGGGACCCAAGCTCGAGCCCCCCCATGTTTATACATTGCATGCGCATACAGACTTTAATATACAACTGTATACATATATATATACATACATATATATACACATATATCTATACAGCTTGTTCCTCCCGCAACGACTGCAAAACTGGCCCCACCTCCCCCTCCTCCCCCTCCTCCTCCACGCCCTCCCTCGCCATCCTCTCCCTCCCCCTCCCGACGACGCCGTCGCCGACGCTGACGCCGACGCCGGCGGCGACGGCCCGCGACGGCGGTGCCGAGGGGCTCCACTCCTTGACCCCGCAGTCCAGCAGCACGCGCTCGTCGGCGAGCGCCTGGGGACAGATGCCCCTCCTCGCCCTCGTCCTCCCTCGTCGCGCGCGCGCCGCGGGAGGGAGGAGGGAGGGAGGGGGGAGGAGGAGGAGGGTGAGGGGGAGGGGGAGGGGGAAGAGGAGGAGGGAGAGAGGAGGAGGATGAGAGGAGGAGGAGGAGGAGGAGGTAGGAGGAGGAGGATGAGGAGGAGGAGAAGGGAGACGTGGAGGAGGAGGGGGATGAGGAGGAGGGAGGAGAATGAGGAAGGCAAGAAGGAGATGGAGAGAGGATAGGAAGGGGGAGGGGGGAGGGGGACGAGGAGGGATGAGCCTCGGGTTGTAAAGGGGTAGGGAACCAAACATTATAAAGACGAGGGAAGGGAGGGTGGGAGGGGGAGGTTACGGTTGTGGTGGTTTATGGAAGGAGGACAACATGAGAGGGGACATGGTAATGGGAGGGGAGGAGCACAGCCACTGTTTGGAGGAGAAAGGACGACGACGACGAGGAGGACGAGGAGAAGGTGGACGTCCAGGGACATTGGATCTTTGGGTCCTCGTCCTCCACGGCGACGGCGGCCACCTCGACCACCGCCCACACCGCGACTGTGAGGTCAGCAGCGCCAAAGACGACGAGCGCGAGGGAGCCGCCCGCTCTGGCGCCATCGTCGTGGCCGTCGTCGCACTCTTCCGCCCTCGTCCTCCCTCCTCCTCCCTCGTCCGCCCTCCTCCCTCCTCCTCCCTCGTCCCTCCTCCCTCCTCTCTCCTCCCTCCTCCCTCCCTCCCTTCCTCTGGTACCAAACAGCAGGTCCGCCAGCGCAGGTCCGCAGGTCCACCAGCGGTCGCCTCCCCAGGCACCAACAACAAACCTCCTTCCCTCTTCCCTTCTCCCTCCTCCCTCCCTCCCT